TAGAAATAAAGGAGGGAAAGGATGAAGGAAAACTGGCTCAAGCATGGGGTGACACAATTGTCTTCCAAAAGACAGTCTCAGCCCCAGTCTCTCATGTGCTGTTCACCATCTGCTCTCAAACAAGTCCATAAAGGGAAACTGCGCAGGCTCCACCTCTGTGTCCCTGTGGCCTGGGAATGCTCTGACCACACCACCACATCGAGTCAAGACTCTTTTTCTACTTTTATTTTTTTTTTCCCTTTTGCTAATAATAGATCAAGCTGGTAGCTCTGTGCTGGGGCACTCAGAGTCTAGTGTCACAGTATCTCATGAGATACTGCAGCACCACCTGGGACCACCTGTATCAGTGTCCAAAGCATCAGTTTCTGCAAGACCCACCAAAATTAACTCAGATGAGGTCCTCCTCCTCCTTCCCTGTTTATCTGCAGGGGCAAAAAACAACCACAACGCCCAAGTTAACCCCCTGCCTCTCTCTCTTGTTTCCCAAACAGTTTGCCCATGTTGGTGTTCAGGGCTCAGATGGGCTTCCCAGAAGTTGATGTCATTGTCAATTGCACATCAGCTTGACTCTCTGCATGGGGCACAGGACCCTGCCCATGCTGACCCAAAACAAGAACCACAGAGCACCAGACCTCTCTGCAGAAGCATTTCTGCTCCTGAGGAAGGGTGGGCTCTGCCTTTTCTCACCTTCTGCTGGGGCTGCCTGTGTTGCTGAAGAATTTCCTGCATTCTCCCACAAAGACAGTGTTGGAGGCAACCCAGGAACTTAAACCAGATGCCAGTTCCCATCAGAATCCAGCCTTATTCCATAGCCTTTCCCCCCCCACCCCCCACCCCCCCGACATCTTCCATAAATAAATATTGTAAAAGCTCTTTGCAGCTAATTGCCATTTAATATGCTGAAAAGAGCTTTACAATATAAACATGGATAAACCCTTGACAGTTCTGAGTGAGAAGGGGAAATTCTTAGCCTCATTTTACAGGTAGGAAACCAGAAGTACAAGGAGGGCTGAGATGTGCCCTGGGGTCACCCTAGAGCTGAGCAGGACACGGGGCTCCACATAGAGGGCCTGTGAGGGACACAGATATGCTCCCAGCACTGTTCCTTCAGGCGTACTGTTGTTCACCTCCCCCTGACAATCTGACAACAGCACAGCTGATCTGCCAACACTGGAAAGCATCAAGTGAGGAGCCTGCCAAGTTAAACAACAGTGTCTGAGAGTTCGTAATAAATCACTGACACAGAAATCCCACTTTCTCAGCTGACCTACATGTGTCGATTTAATTGGGTCAGTGCTGTGCAAATTCATCAGTTCAATATAAAGCTAAACAATAATAGGGGCTCACCTTCCCCTCCACCCTTCCCAGGCATTCCTCCCAGCTGCATCACCCCTGCCCCATCCCATCCCATCCTATCCTGGTGCTGAGAAGTGACCTGCTCCCCTGGAGCCAGCGGGGAAATCCTGCTTGGAGCAGTGAGGCTGCCTGACTCACGTCCCTGCCTTTCCCATCAGTTGGGCTGCAGCTTGGAGAATTTCTGGCTGAAAGAGAGTGAATGAATAAGCTGGGACTTGTCAAAAACCAGCCTCCGCTCATAGGCTGTGCTGCTTAATGTGCTTGTCTTCCAGCTTTCCCTGAAATCTATCAACTTCAAAAAGGATCCATTAGAAGCTAAACACCACTTGCCAAATGACACATTTTGCCACACTGAAATCCACTTCCCCACCTCCCCCTCCTTTTCTAGATGCTCGAAGGTCTTGTATTCCTAAAACATGATCTCCCATAAATCTACTTCAGTCTGGTGAAGAAGGCCCAGGCCTTGACACTGGATAATTTTTTACGGACTTATTTCTAAATGTCACCTTCTTGACACATTCCAGTCCACACACAAGCAATAAATGAGCTCCCTCTGCTGTCTGTGACAACAGCCATTAGCAAATTTTAATCCCGGAGGGTTTAGTGGACATAATCTAAATGGGACCTGATGCACTACAGCTGTAGATAACTGCTGGGTGGACAACACCCAATCTTACCACACCTCCACCTATGTCTAGGAGCCAGACTTCCTTCTCTGTGCAAATCTCTCCTTTCCAAACGTGCACAGAGCATTCTTTTCTTCCTGCTAGCCGATGAGGTGCAGGAGCCCCTGGCGACAGAATTGCAAATTACCAACATGCCCAGGCTAATATCTGAGTGTATGAATTCACTCAGGTGCTCCTGAGTGAAAACAGTGGGTCCATTAATTATGCCCTTTTACTCCTTAGAAAAACACAAACACGGCGTAGAGCTACATAGGGAAAGTGCAGGAACAACAACCTGGGAGCACTGTAGTGAGGCAGATTTCTCTTTCCCTGTGTTAGAATCCTACAGCAATGGCTGGTAATTGGTAGAGGTGAGCCTGGGAGGCAGGCATCCCACACACAAGCAGGCAAAAGCATCTCCCATCTTTTCCCTTTGCAGGCACTGACCTCCTGCAAGTGGCTGCTCATGAGTTTGGCCACGTCCTGGGCCTGCAGCACACGGCTGTCTCCAAGTCACTCATGTCTCCTTTCTACATCTTCCGCTACCCGCTGAGCCTAAGCGAGGATGACAAGCAAGGTATCCAGTACCTTTATGGGAAACCCAGACTGGATCCTGCCCCAACCCCAACTCAACCAGCAGAGCTGCCCCAGGCAGGCCTTGAAACCAATGAGATCACCAACGTGGAGGTGAGTGAGCAGACTGTGTGTCCTCCTTTACCACCACAGCTGGGGCTGTCCTCACCAAGAGGCCAGCAACAGGCTTACATGTGGTTTCGTGTCTGTCTTCCACCCATGCGTCGAGCCCAGGTCTGGAGCCCACACTGGCACTGCCAGCTGGGCTGGGGTGTTGGAACTAGATGATGTCACGGTCCTTTCCAACCCTAGCTATTCCATGATTCTATGTGTGGGGAGGGAATCTTTGGGCAGCACATGCCCAACCAACACTGGCTGAAAGCGGGACAGTTGCCTGGGTATGGGGGCTTCCCATGCACTGAACCAGGAGGGCTCCCAGGAGCCCCTCACCTGACAGGCTGTGCTTTGGCAGGTGGTGCAGCCCAACGCCTGTGACACAGCTTTCGACGCCGCATCCACCATCCGAGGGGAGCTGTTCTTCTTCAAGTCCCGCTATGTGTGGCGGCTTCGAGCGGGAAAGCTGCAGTCCCCCCCCGCCACTGGCAGGGGATCCCCAGCTCTGTCGATGCCACCTTCGAGGACCCTCTGGGCAATATCTGGTTTTTCCAAGGTAAGAGCTGGACTGGGATCAGACAGCTCAGAAATGCATCTTCTTTACTTAGGGGTATTCAGGACCCAACAAGTTCCTGGGAGGATAAACCTTCTGGGCATCCTCAGCAATCCAGTGATCCTTGTTATTTGTTTCTTTCTCTGTTTAAATTTTGTAGCAGATATTGTCACTTTTATACACAGCCACAATATCTCATTCTCCCCTGGAACACAAACATTTGTTTTGAGGCTTTGCCCTGGCAATGCTGCTGGCAGAAGGGCTCCATCTTCCTGGCTGTCCTGGTAATCGCTGCCAGAAGAGAACCTCAGGCAGCTTCACTGGTTGTGAAACTCCTGTGTCTGTGTCCCAAGGCACTGCATCTTTTCTGCTCCTCAGAGACCACGAGCATGTGGAGCTTTTCTAGTGCCCCAGGACCAAATGAGCCTACATGGAGCCTGCGTGCAGAACCAGACAACCTCTGGCCACCATAGGGATTAAAAACCCATGGTGGGGGCAGACCTCCTCCTGGTCTCCTCTGGAGTTCAAGGCTAACAATGAACAACGAGGCCAAAACAGCTCCACTGTTTTCTTTAATGCTCTTTCCAAGAGTAAATTTAATAGCAAGGATGCAGAATGAGGAAGGTACCCAGGTGCCCTGGGTGTGCACACCCCGTCTACACACCATGAGCACCAGAAGGCACATCATGGGGCTCTGCAGGCAGTGCTCCTGTGTAAACAGGTCACTTAGCACCTGACGTGCACACAAGGACTTACAGTGCTAAAATGGCAGGCTCCTACCATGAGTTAAAATGAGATAAGGGGAAAGTATTACATGCCATAGACTAGTTACAGAGCTTGCCATTTTAACCTTATCTGGTAATAGGCTTCCAGTCTCTATTTCAGCTTGGCAATTCTTCCTGGTTTCTGTAGCTTGCTCCTCTACAGTTGCGTGCCCCCTTTATGCCTGTGCATGCCCACATATGTTCTCCAAGCATGGAGTTTGCAGGGTGGAGGCTGGTCCCTCCAGACAAGTCTTTCCTTGTAACTTCCACAGATAGAGAAAAGGCAGCTGCTATAATAGTCCTGCTCATCCCACCACTGACACCCTCTGGGTTGGACTGAGGTGGGAAGTCAACTCTCTGCACTGATGGCATCTGTCAGTGACAGTGTCCATGACACTGGTGGGGTTTTTGCACAGCTTCCCCTGGGAACTCTGCCAAAGCACCAGCTCCAGTTGTGCAGTTCACTGCCAAATTATCAGATACAAAAAGAGCTTCTGACCCTTTGTCTCCCTTTTCTGTCCCCTCACCAGATTCTCAGTACTGGATTTATGATGGTGAGAGACGGGTATCTGGTCCCACTCCAATTGTGGAGCTGGGCCTCCCTGCATCCCCTGTGCAGGCAGCTCTGGTGTGGGGGGCTGAGAAGAACAAGATCTACATCTTCGGTGGAGGCAACTACTGGCGCTTCCACCCTCACACACGCCAGGTGGACAACATCTACCCTCGGACCATGGCTGACTGGCGCGGTGTCCCTCAGGAGATCGACGCAGCTTTTCAGGACGAGTTTGGTCAGTGCAGCAGGGACATGGCCTACTCTGGGGTTTTATCATTATTAATTGCAACATTCAACAGTTAAGTGTCCGATAGAGAGAACTCAAACTTTGATAAAGAAATGGTTTCAGAGTCCTACCCAGATGTTACTGCTCCTGACAGAGAAATTTATGAGAGGACAGCAGAGATGCTTCACTTCAGCCTCAGCAGCTGTCCTGAATGAACAGCTTTTGGTATTGCCTAGTTCTCCCAGATATGTCCCATGCTGAGTGAAGACAGTATGTCAGTGCCACAGAAACACTGCAGACAGGCAGGGTGCTTGGGATGACAGGGGCAGTGACTCTCTCTTTCCTTCAAAAGGATGCCATGGAACAGCTCCCCACTGCTTCCAGAGCCTAAATCCCAGGGCTAGATCCCTACAGTAACAGATGCAGCAGATCTTCAGAAGCTCGTCACTGGTCCTGTTCAGATCCTAGACACCCTCTTCTCACTCAGGGCCAGGTCACCACATGGGTACCAGGAACCACCAGGAACATAAAATAAAATTCACACTGTTTATTCTCCTGTCAAAACTAAAGCAGCGTGAAAGAACAGTGTAAGCCACAAGCCTGGGTTCAAGTGTGATGAATCTAGCAGTATCTCCTGCCTCTTCCAGGTTCTCTTTTGGTACTGCACATGCTGCAGAGCATCAGCTAGGGAAGAGCTCTGCGCCATGCAGACCCTGTCTGTTCTAACCCTTCCTCTACCACCCACAGGTTTTGCCTATTTCCTGAGAGGCCGAGATTACTGGAAGTTCGATCCAGTGCAGGTGAAGGTGCTGGAGGGCTACCCACGCCAGATCAGCCAGGACTTCTTCAGCTGTGTGCCTTCCTCCAACTCCTTCAGATGAGGGGGATGCCTGTGTCCTCCACACTCCCCTTTCATCACCCCTACACCAGTAGCCACAAAGCAGGTTCTCTCTGCCATTACTGGCTTCCTTCCAGGCACAGCATCTGACACAACACGTCTCTGTCACAAGTGACAAAGTTTGCTCCTCTCCAGTTCCAGCAGCCCCAGCTTCAGTTGCTATCAACGTAAAAGCATCTGCCATGTTCTTTGCAGGCAAGAGCAACCACTAAATCCTTAACATGGCCATGCTCTTCTAGCAATAGCACCCCAAAAGCCATCAAGCCAGCCTGGAACAGGAGTACACTCTCCTAAGTAACCTGGACCCCATCCTGTAGAGCTCATCCCATGGCATTTCCTATGTTTACACAGCTCACAACAGCAGCCCTTTGCTGCACGGGAGACACTGGCCAGGAAGGAGGGTTTCCACTGGGACACTCCCTTGGTAGCGGCCAGAGGCTTTGAAGGACACTGACTGTACCTGCGGAGGAGCGCAGACGTGTGGCTGCTGCCAGGGTCACTTCACTGGGACTGCAGCGGTGACCGCCGGACCCTGCCGCAGCCCTACCCCCGGTTTTATGTTGTATGACTAGTACGCGTTAGGATTTTATACTGATTTGTATATAGACAAGGCCCCCCCTTCCTTCCACGGTGCTGGGTGCCAGTGCTGGACACTGCCCCTT